CTCGCATCGGACTCTCTGCAGGGAGGCTGCTTCTCTTTGCCTGTGTCTCTGCCTCTCTCTCATGAATAAATAAATAAATGAAATCTTTTTTAAAAATTTACTAGAGCAGGAGAAAACATGCTGCCGTATAACTCATGAGCTGAAGAAATCATAATGGAAATAGAAAATACTTAGGACAATATATTATATATCAAAATTTATGGGCATCAGTGAAATCAGTGCTTTGAGGGAAATGTAAAGCCTGAAATATTCATATTAGGAAAGAGGACAGGCAGCAAATTAATGAGCCAAACAGCCCAACTAAGATGTTAGAGATCACTAATAATAAACACAACGAAATCAGGAGGCTAGTGTTACCCTGATACCAATGCCAGATGAAACATTACCAAAAAAAAAAAGAAAAGAAAAAGAAAAAGAAAATTGTGGAGTATCTCTCATGAGTATAAAAGTAAAAGTTGGGATCCCTGGATGGCACAGCGGTTTGGCGCCTGCCTTTGGCCCAGGGCGCGATCCTGGAGACCCGGGATCGAATCCCACATCGGGCTCTCGGTGCATGGAGCCTGCTTCTCCCTCTGCCTGTGTCTCTGCCTCTCTCTCTCTCTCTGTGACTATCATAAATAAATAATAAATAAAAATTTTAAAAAAAGTAAAAGTCTTCCATAAAATACTAGCACACCATATCCACCGGCATACTGAAAAGATGATACACCATGACCAAGTGGGTTTTATCCCAGGCTCACATAAGAACATAAGAACCGATCAGTGGAATATACCATGTTAACAGAATGAAGAAAAATCCATATGATGGCCTCAATTGATGCAGAAAAAAAATCTTTGACCAAATTCCATACCCTTCCATGATAAAAAGCACACAGAAAACTAAGACAATGAAAACTAATACAAAAGAACTAGCTCGATGCTAAGGGGCATTTATGAAAAACACACACAGGTAACGGTGTGTCCAGTGGTGAAGGATTGGAAGCTTTCCCCTAAGATCAGGAATAAGACCAAAGATGCCTGCTTTCACCACTGCCAGCAAATATTGTACTGGCCAGAACAATTTACACAAGGAAAAAATTAATAAAATCATCAAAATTGGAAAGAAAAAAGTACAACTATCTCTATTTGCACATGACATGATCCTACATATAGAAAATCCCAAAGAATCAACAAGCAAGTGATTCAAGCTAATAACTTCAGGAAGGTTGCAGGGTACAAGGGCAACACACAAACATCAGTGGGGTCCTATGTACCTATAATAATAATTCTGAAAAGGAAATTAAGAAAGCTGTTCCAGGGGCACCAGTGGCTCAGTCGGGTAAGCATCCTACTCTTGGTTTCAGCTCAGGTCATGATCTGCAAAGTCAGCTTGAGATTCTCTCTCCCTCTCCCTCTGCTCCTCCTCCCACTCTCCCTCGCTTTCTCAAATAAATAAATATTTTTTACAAAAGAAGCTATTCCACTAACAGTAGCATCAGATTAATGAAATAGCACATATTCAAAGCAATTCTTAACAAAATAGGATGAGGGCTTATAATAAAAACGGGGGAATAACTACAGCTGGGAAGGATAGGGAGAAATTGGAACCCTCATGCATCACTGGTGGGAAAGCATATGGTGCCTCTGCTGTGGAACACAGGCCAGAGAAGCCAGTGTCTGTGCCGAGAGCTGCAGAAGAAAGACCTCACTTGCGGGCAGGCAGGCAGACGTCCCCTTCCTACAGGGCCAGTGGTGATCACAAACATTGGGAAGTTGTACCAGTGGTCGGTGGGCACATGAGAAGATCAAAACCACCACTCGTTAGGGAAATGCAAATCGAAACCAGAGTGAGATAGAGTTCATACCCATTAGGACGGCAGATATATGTAAAAACCAAAAAAGAGAAATTAACTAGAATTGGTGTGGTTGGGGAAAAATCGGAACCCTCGTACATCACCAGTGGGAACGCAAAATGGTGCATCTGCTGCGGAAAACCGGTATCTGTGTGCAGAGAGCAGCAGAAGAAAGACTTCACTTGAGGAACAGGGGTGCAGAGGGCAGGAGGCCAGAGTGCCTGGTGTCCATGTTGGGAGGGCCACGGGAGGCCATCACTGGGTGGGACCAGGGTGGGAGATCACTAAGGGACCACCTGTGTTGGGGGAGGGGCCGGGGCAGAGCCCCATGGACACCCTCTGACTAATCCTCTAACTGCCAGAACCTTCCTCCTGCAGTCTCCCTCCAGAACCTTCTATGAGCACACATCACATGGTGGTCATTGTCCAAAAGAAATGCTTTCAGGAATTCCATCCATTAGGGCAGAGTGGGGACTCAAGGGTGAATTTTGAGCCGATAGGCTCTAATTGCCAGTTGAGGGCCCAAACCGCCCCGGCCATGCACAATGTCAAGGAGCATTAATCCCATGAGTCTCTCCTAAGAAACCTACGGAGAATGAGCTTCCCTCAAACTGGCTACAGAGGCAGGCCCAGAGGCCCGGTGGCGAGCCCCAAACACACACACACACACACACACACACACACTTGCAGGCTGCAAGACAGGTCACAGCAGGGAAGGGCTCCGTGGAGATATCCAACAACTATTCAAAACCGGGGACAGCAAAACACAACTTAACCATTTTCACCCATTATATTGGTGAAGGTAGTGTTGTTGTCCTGGAACGGCTGTGTGTAGTAGGAGACGTAGCACAGACATAATCTTGGGATATTCTAATTCCATCATTCCCTGTGTCCTTGAGAATGAGGCTTCTTGCCGTAGAGCAAAAACATACCAGTATACTCTATTTCCACGTAAGGAAAAAATGCTCTAGTCTTGAATTTGAAATGCCAGTATTTGAACTCATGAGGCATTTCATCTTTCAAAGGATTTACCTATAAATATTCCCTTGCTCTGCCCACTGGAAAGGAAACAACACAATGACTATGAGCATCCCCCTCACCCAGACTGTGGTCTTGAAATTCCTTTTCCAACTAAAAGAAACCAGGGAGTTTTTTTTTTTTAAGATTTTATTTATTTATCCATGAGACACACACACACACACACAGAGAGAGAGAGAGAGAGAGAGAGAGAGAGAGAGAGAGGCAGAGGGAGAAGCAGGCTCCATGCCGGGAGCCCAACGTGGGACTTGATCCGGTGACCTGAATCAAAGGCAGAGGCTCAAGCACTGAGCCACCCAGGGATCCCTAAGCCAGAGAGTTTTAGACAAAGAGCTGACTCCAGGCCTGGGACATCTTGTTACCCCAGACAGCGAAGAAGCTCTGAAACCCTACTTGGGCCATGTCAGCACATCTCTGACCCAAGGGGAAAAGCTCCCTCTGGTCCAGGTGGCACAATCTGAGCTTCAATAAAGACAATAAATATGACGGATCAAAACCCTTATATACATTTAAATGTTTATTTTTTATTTTTTTTTATTTTTTAAGAGTGAGTAGGGAGGGGCAGAGGGAGAGGGAGAGAGAGAATCTTAAACAGGCTGCATGCCCAGCATGGTACCCGATGTGGGGCTCAATTTCACGACCCCAAGATCACTAACTGAGGTGAAATCAAGAGTCGGACACTTAACAGATTGAGCTGCCCAGGCACCCCAACCCTTGTGTACATTAAGATCTATAGGAATGACATAATAATTCTAAAACACTAAAACGTAATGGACTGGGTCACCTTTGGAGGATGATAAAGAACAAATGAATTATCCTGAAAATCAGTGAAAGAGAAAATGTTTCAAATTCTGTAAAGGTGGGGCACCTGGGTGGTGCAGTCGGATGGGCGACCGACTTGATTCCAGCTCAGGCCGTGATCTCTGGATCTTGAAATCGAGCCCCGCCTCCGGCTCCGAGCTAAGTGCGGGCTTGGAGTCCCCCCTCTCCCCCTGCCCCTCCCCAGTGCACGTGCCCTCTCCCTATCTCAAATAAATGCAGTAATCTTTAAAAAAAAATCTGTAGGGGATCCCTGGATGGCTCAGCAGTTTGGCACCTGCCTTCAGCCTAGGGCGTGATCCTGGAGACCTGGGATCGAGTCCCACGTCAGGCTGCATGGAGCCTGCTTCTTCCTCTGCCTGTGTCTCTGCATCCCTCTCTCTCTCTGTGTGTGTCTCATGAAGAAATAAAATCTTAAAAAAAAATAAAAATAAATAAAAATAAATTTAAAAAATCTGTAAAGGAGAAGTTGGTAACCGTTTCCCCTCCGTGTGCTATGCAAGCAGCACTTCTGCGCAATTGGCTGATAGACAGGGGCGTCTCTATGGAACTACTCCAGACAATAGAGGAGAAAGAAATGTTAAAATTAAGCTGCTGCCATTGTGCAAACCCCAGGAAAAGCAATGAGGCTCAGGCAGTGAGTTTCAGGTGGGCTCGCCTCACAAAAATAGGGGCCCATCCCGACGCCTCCTAAGGAAGGAAGCCAGCTCCCACCTACAGCCTGGCCAACAGTGCTGAACCCCTACATTTAACTGCTGAGGCCCAGAAATGCAGAGGACACGGAGGGAACTGAGAGGACAGAAGGGCCCGGCGCTGGTGCTGGCCTGGAGCCTCCTGGAGCTACAGAGGCTCACTACCCTGTGGGGGCGCTGGGACCCCAGCAGGGACGGGCAAAGGACACTGGAAGGGAGGGAGAGGGAGGACCGGCGGTGCAGGAGCACATGGTGCCAGGAGTAGGCTTGATGGGCAGGCTGTCTGGGTCCTTGAAGCTCACCCTCTAGGGCTATGGACTCCATAGCCTGGCCAGGACAGCTCCCTTCCAGAAAGCTCCCTGGGTAAAGCTGGGCCCAGTAGGTAGAACTAAGGTTCTACCTTAGTTGGTGGAGTCCCAAGCCAGGAGGATGGGAAATGCGTACAGCTTCCCTAAGAAGTCAGGAATGTTAACAGGGGGCTGACAAGGTCGCCCCAGGGGGATGACAGGATACCTCAGCCCCATGTCTCCTGGGCCACACAGATACAGGTGTACTCAGTGCTTCCCTTTATGTGCCTTTATTGGAAACACTTAGGGTTTGGGTAGTGGGAACCAAGAGCTCAGTTGGCAGCAAGTATTTCCTGAACCCAAGGAATGAGTTCAGTGACGCGGGAGTACACAGCAGGAACAGAGGTGGAGCAGGTGCCGCTGCCCCAGGACACGATGCCCACCAGGGTCCAGGCTCCATCCTTCTGGCAGACCAGGGGGCCACCAGAGTCGCCCTGCAGGAGGAGAAGGGACTCGTTTTCAAGGCCGAAGCAGGGTGCCAGGACCCCGATGTGCCCCGACCTGCCCCAGCCCAGGTTTTGTGCAGGGAAATGACCAGCATAGTGTGGGCATGGGGAGCGGGCAGGAGCCCCCAGCTGTGGCCCCATGGCAGCCCCAGCTGTCACCTGCTCCCGGAGGGCCTGGGGCAGCGGGCTAACCCCCTGACCGGGCCGGTGTCTGCACAACGGGCTGGACATATCGAGCTCAGGGGGGCTGGCAGGAGGACGCCATCACCCCGGGAGCCCCGCACCAGCCCGGCCAGGGCAGCTGGCCTGGGCCAGGGGGAGCAGGTGCCGCAGAGAGGAGCCGCCCTCCCGACCCGAGCGGGCCTGAGCAGGGCAGGGCGAGGGCAGGGAGGGCAGAGCCGGGCCTACCTTGCAGGAGGAGACGCCGCTGGCACCGGCGCAAATCATCACGTCGGTGATCTTGCTGCCCCAGAACTTCTTGCACTCGGCGTTGGACAGGAGGGGCAGGGCCGCCTGCTGCAGCTTGTCGGGGGTCTTGTTGGCTGCGGGGACACAGCCGGCCGGGGGGATCAGGACACCCCCCTCCCGGTGGCAGGGACCAGTGGCCGCCTGGAGACCCCGCCTCCCCTGCCTGGTCCTAGTCCTTGGCCTTTGCCGCGGCCCCGGGACCGGAGCTGCCAACCGCCCCTGAGACAAACAGCGCCTGCGGCCCCGGTGGTGCTCAGACAGCCCCCACCCCCCCACACCCCCCCACACACACCCGCTTCCGTGCGGCCTGGGCCCTGGGAGATGCTGGGGGGGCGCTGTCTCCCAGGGAAGGGGGCTGACACCCTTGGGCCCGGGGACACAGCGGGGGCGCGCCGCTCTGGGGGGGCACAGGAGGGAGCCCCCTCCCCTGGCCGCTCCTGTCCTGTTAAAGGGACAGCAGGGGAGCTGGGGCCTGGGCAGGAGCAGCGAGGACGATGTTGCAGGGGGAGTGCGGGCGGGGAGCAGCCGGAGACCGAGGGGGGCCCCCACCCCCTGCACCCAGACGCCTGAGCGGCTCAACACGGCCACTGTCCTCGGGTGTGGGGAGCAGTCGGGGCGGGGATGGGGCGACAGGGGCCCTGGTGCAAGGCGGCGGCGAGGCTTGCTGGCACTTGGCTGTTTCTCAGCCAGTTTGTCTTCCAGCAGAGTCTTTATGCTGATCTTTTAAAAAGATTTTATCTATGAGAGAGAGAGAGAGAGAGAGAGAGAGAGAACGAGGGGTGGGAAGCAGCAGAGGCAGAGGAGAAGCAGAGTCTCCTTTGAGCAGGGAACCTGAGGCGGGTTGGGATCCCAGGACTTGGGATCATGACCTGAGCCAAAGGCAGATGCTGAACCGATTGGGCCACCCAGGCATCCCTCAGCTCATCTCTATTCATGCTTGGTAAGTTTTTCATTAAGAGAGTTTTAAATAAACAGAAAGATTTATGGCCACGCTGCATTTTGGAGAAAAAAAAGGGAAAAGCCACTTGGGTGTCCCCTGGAGACTTCCTGCTGCTCAGGCGGCCCCAAGGCCAGACGCGTGCCCTGGGAGGACATGCCAGGTGGCCCTCACCATTGTACTTGGTCCGTCCCCAGCCGGTGGTGACGCACAACAAGCCCGGGGGGAACTCGTCGGTGGCCTGGGGCAGGCACACGGGGGACACGGTCTCGGAGAAGCGGGCGGGCGTGGCCAGCTTCAGCAGGGTGATGTCGTTGCGGACGGTGAACATGTTGAACTTGGGGTTCTTGAACACCTGAGCGTGGAGCCAGAACAACCGCGTTAGGCCCTCGGATTCGTCAGCAATCTGAGGGCTGCAAGGAGGCAAGTTCTTTTTCCGGTGCCCCCGTGGGGACACGGACCCACAGGGGCCCGGAAAGAGAAGTCGAGGCCCACCCCGGCCACCCGGGCCCTGCGTCTCAAGCAGCCGAGGCGCTGTCCTTCCCGCCCCTGCCCCAGCACCTCGGCCAGGCGGCGGGGCTCGGACGCACCTCGGCGATCTTCAGGACCTGGATGTTCTCTTCATTTGAGCTCTGGTCAAACTCTCCGGCCACGACCAGGTGAGAGGTCCTGGGGGAGTCACGTGGAGGTTAAGGCCTGGGGGTGGCTCCTGCTCCCTCCTCACCCCCCAAATGTAGCCAGAAGCAGAGCCCTGAGCCTGCCCAGGCCTCACCTGACCCCGCAGTGGGCGGCCGTGACCACCCAGTCCTCGCTGATGAGGGAGCCCCCGCAGAAGTGGAAGCCGGTGCTGTCCTGGAGGAAGACGGGGAGGGTCAGGCCTACCTGGACGCCAGTAGCCCCCAGCCTGGCTCGTACCCCAGTGTGTCCCCCACTCACGTACAGAAAACCCCCTCACCTGCAGGGACACCTGCCAGGGCCAGGAGCCCGGGATGGCGTCTTCCCCATTGACGATCCTGGACAGGCCGTTCAGGACAGGTTCGATGGCGGGGACCCCGCAGTCTGAGGGGGGCGGGCAGCAGGGGGCAGAGAAGAAGGCTGAGGCCCAGGGCCACTCTGCAGAATTCCTGGTTTCTTCCAGGCCAGAGCAGGACCCCACACCGGCCTCCTACCGCCCCCAGGCAACTTGGGCTGCGCTCCTCAGCCCGCAGGCACGAGGAGCCCCACGTACACCTGCTAACCCAGTCAGTGCGCGGCTGCGGACGGGGGCCGGGCTGCTCCCACCCGAAGCCTTCCCGACGAAGGAGCAGAAAACAGGCTGAGAAATCAGCCCGCCGGGTGGACTCCCAGGCCCAGCCTTCTTGCTGTAAGGCCTCAGGGGGTCACTGAAATCTCCACTGCTCACCCTCCTCAGTAAACTGGGGAGCAAACACGACTCACCTCACAGGTCAGAGCTCGCCTGTCGGATGGGGGGAGTGGCATGAACACCGCTGGCCCCCAGGGCACGGGGCCTAGAACCTGGATGCTCTGCTCAGGCGGGGTAGCCAGTGGTACGTCCCACCCTGCCGTGCCCACACTGAATTTCCTCCTCCAGAGAGTTCAGGAACTATTCTCATATAAAGGTTCAGCGTCTTAATTAGCTAATAAAACAGGACTTGGATTCCGCACCACGGAGAAAACAGAAATCAAGGGCTTGAATTGTCACAGACGGTGAGAAAAGATGGGTGTACTTAAGCTGTCTGTGAGGCATTCGCTGTGCCAGCACCTGGGGAAATCTCAGCACCTGTGCAAGCAAAGTTAGGGTCTCGCAGCCCGAGCACCAGGCAGCCCTCCTCGAGGTGACACAGGCCAGCACCTGCCCCACTGTCCCTGCATAACCCAATGCAGAGCATTATTGCCAAAACGTAGGTCATCGTACTAATCACTTTCTTTGTGACACTAAAAACATTTGAACTAAACCAGGACGTATTTACGCAGCTGACTACGGTGATTACAGTGAATGGGTCTCTGTACCAACAGGGATAAATCTAAAACGTTACACCTGAATGGGTGGGAAAAGCCCCCACTTTTTGTTTTTGTTTGTTTTTAAGTAGACTGTCCTTGTGGGGCTCGAACTCTCCACCTTGAGTTCAAGAGTCGCATGCTCTACCGACTGTGCCGGCCCAGGTGCCCCAGGCACGTTTTAAAATTGATGTAGAGTATAATGCCGTTTGTGGAAGTTTGTACACATTCCATACAGTGTTTATGGATTTATAAATATGTAGTAAATTGGTAAAACCTGCACAGAAATGAGGCACAGCAAGCTTGGCATCGGGCTTACCTTCCACCAGGGGAGGAGGGGGAGGGTGGCTTTAGCTGAATCTATTTTATGTTTTAAAAAAAGAAATACCTGAAGCCAGTCTGCTAAAAAGTAATATTTGCAAAACCCTGATGTAAGTACATGGTTGTCATATTATTTTCTGTATTTTTTTTCTCTTTCTTCTCCTTTTTATTTTTATTTTTTTTCTTCTCCTTTTTAAATGGAAAATAAAGGACTTCACAAGTGCTTGGCACAATAAATAAAAACCCGAGGAGGGGCGCTGAGAGTCTCCTGCAACACACCCCTACTCTGCTTGCAGCACCCCGCCCGAGCCGCTCCAGAGGCCGAACTCGGTGTGGCCCAGGCTGGTCTTGGACAGCCCCCTGGCTGGGGTGCACGTGCTCAGAGAACCCCGAAGGACCTCTGTGCTCCCTGCAGCCTCAGCGTGCCAGTCTGGGCAGAGGCCCCAGGTGCAGGGAAAGGGTCACCAAACTCCCTCTTGGCTGGGCCCCAGGGCTCACTGCAGACAGAGTCCCCGGGCTCCTTCGGTGGCCTAGCTGCAGGGCTGCCGGGGACTGGGAACCTCTGTCTCAACCTGCTCCAGGCCGGGCAGGCCAACCCTGGGATCCCCGGGGTCCCGACACTCACGACTGGAGGCAGCCCCCACAAGGGCGAAGCAGGAGAGAAGCCACAGAAAGGCCATGTTGCTGCGGTCAGGAAGGCGTGAGGTGACCACTGCAGGGGTCCTCCTTTTAAGTCACCTGGGCCACCCCAAGCCCTGCCCAGCCCCTTTGGCCTTGCCTAGGTGGAGAAGCCTGAGAGCCACCCTCCCCATTTTCCGAGGACCTTGAGCGATAAGTGAGGGTCAAACCCCTCTCACGGGCTGGCCTGGCTCTCGGCCCGGGATGCCCCAGCCCCTGGGAAAGGGGCAGCTGCTCTGATGCCATGTCACCCCTAAGACTTGGCAATACCTGGCATCCCGAAGGCTCTGTGCGCAGCGTCAGCACCCTGGCCGGGAGCCTGGGCCCTGCAGAGCCCAGTCTGGGCGGCCTTTAGCCAGTCCCAGGGGCAGGGACCCGGCGCTGCCAGGGAGGAATCCCAGTTCCTAACCAGAGGCAATCCCACCTGGGGACGCCTCCAGGACAGTGACCATACGCTGCAGGTTCTCAGTAAAGAGTATTTTCAACCCAATATCACCTACAAGTAAAGTAGCCTACACACGCCCTGGGTTACCTAGAGGGTCACCTTCAAACCACCTCAGCCAAGCAGCTTCTGAGCGTAGGTCAGGCTGTGTCAAGGTCAGGGCGTCACCCCCATGGAGCCCACCAGCAGGTTCTAGGTGGACAGACAGGCTGACAGGCTGTCACGCATCGAGCTCTGGGCTCTGAATCTCTTTCTGTGGTAACTCACAGTTTGAGGAATGAGCCACTGTAGATAGCTCCGTGTCCTATAAAATGGGGTGTTGATTCCACACCATTAAACGATGCACAAGGAAACAGAACAGAAACGATGTTGATGGTCCCAGAACAATGAGAGAAGGAAGGTGTACATAATAGGGGGGTGACGCGTTTGCTGCAAGTAGGGGCTGAATGAGCTCTTAGCAGCAGCCCCTGGTGTAGGCGCTGGATGCTCACATGCACACAGCACAGGGGCACCCCTGTCCTCATGAGGCCGAGAGCCTAGGGACAGAGACAGACACCAGAGGGACAGGAATGTGATGTTGTGAGCCCCATAGTCCAGGCACGAAAAGGAGAGTGCTGCTGTTCTGGAAGGTGCTCTGGGCCTCAACCCTGAGCCGGTTTGTAGAGGAAGGTGGGCTGGGAAGGAGGCCGGGGCACCCCGGGAGCAGCTGGCCAGTGAGCGGCACAGGGTCACTGCCCCTGACTGGAACTGCATCGGCCTGGAGGTTTGGTGGTGATCTGTAGAAGCGCTGTGTGCGCTCAGCACGGGCTCTGTTCACAGTGCTTCCCGGGGTGGGCTGGGGGGCAGGGGCTCTGCCCAGGGGCTCCCGGAGGGCCCCCAAATGTGGGGAAGGGCTGAGGCAGCCGCGTTTCCAGGGTCGCAGGGAGCCAGCGGCTGGGTGCTGAGCGCTAACTGGGTCTGAGCTTTCTGATCCCTCTGGCTGTGTGTCCCCCCACACCCGGGGGCCCAGCTGGGGGCCAGCCCTGGGCGTGAGGGTGAGCAGTCCGCAGTGAGCCCAGTTCCGTTTCAGGCCAGGGTCATTCACATTTGCTCGGCTTCTCTTCTCTTTTTTTCCTTCCCTTATTCCAAGCAGGGAGCCAAGCCGGTTGGATTTTCCTTGCCTCGAGGACTTTCCAGAACAGACAACGGCGGCCCGAGTCCCTGGCTCTCCGGGTCTGCTGGGAAACTCAACCCAGGCCCACTGGCGTGTAGGGGGAATCCGGCCTCAGACGCTTCTGCAAGGGGAGGGAGAGCTCCCCCAGTCCCGGAGGTGAAGGCGGGGTGTGCGTCTCCGCGGGGGGGGGCGCGGGGGGCTCGTACTTTGACAGAGAGCCAGGCCCCGGGGCGAGCGAGGGGTCTGTCGGCGCCAGGGCCAGCCGCGCCTGCCCGGCTGCAGCCAGTCCTCATTCTGGGCCACACTCGGGGCTCCCCAGGGTGAGGGGGCCGGGAGCAGGGCCCCGGGGCGGGGGGGACAGAAGCCGGGTACTGCTCTGGCTTGGCCCCCGGAGGCGCCCGCCGGCAGCCCGAGCCCATCGCGGCTCCTGCCTGACACACGGGCCACGCGCCCGGAGGGGCGCTCCGAAGCCACGGGCGGCGGCGACGCAGGACTCAGACGTTGCTCGGGCTGCCCCGTGTGGCTTTCAAGGTGCCAGCGTCACCGTGTGGCCTCTCGCTGGGCCACACGCGAAGGGGCCCCTGGGGAGGCCAGACATGGATCGGCTCCCCTTCCTCAGTGGGCCTCAGGCGCTCGGCGGCCTGAAGGCCCAGAGAGGCTGGTCCTGGCCGGCCACGCCACTAGGAGTCACAGCCACGTTTGTCCAGGCCCGCCGCCACCGCGCCGGCAACAGAAAGCGGCCGTCAGTTGTGAGACAGTTCCCACTTTCAAAGATATTACAACGTAAAAAAAAAAAAAGGTATTAAAACAAAAATATCTCGTCTGAGAAATGATCACATATGTTCAGGGCAGCGGGGGGGTGGCTCACGGGTTAGGCATCTGCCTTCGGTTCAGGTCATGGGCCCAGGGGCCCGGGCCCCAGCATCGTGTGGGCTGTCAGCTTGCTGAGGGGCTTGCGCCTGGACCCCCCCAAGGTTCCTGATGACGCTGGGAGCCTCTTAAGAAACTGGGTGCCTCAGCTTTGGCTCATGGTGTGGTCCCAGGGTCGAGTCCCGCATCGGGCTCCCTGCAGGGGGCCTGCTTCTCCCTCTGCCTATGTCTCTGCCTCAGTCTCTGTGTCTCTTATGAATAAATAAAATCTTAAAAAAAAAAAGAAACTTATTGTCCTCCTAAATCCACAGAGTCCCTCTAATAGAAAAATCTTAAAACTGACATTTCTTGCATGCCCATGTGTAGAGCTGAGAATCACCTTATTACAAGGAGCAAAAGGAGGGGACGCCTGGGTGGCTCAGCAGTTGAGTGTCTGCCTTTGGCTCAGCCTGCTTCTCCCTCTGCCTCTGTCTGCCTCTCTCTGTGTCTCTCATGAATAATAAATAAAATCTAAAAAAAAAAAAAAGGAGCAAAAAAAGGAGTGGGCTGGGGAAGGAGCAGCAGCCCAAATGGCCCAGTGAGGGAACGGTATGTAAATTTTGGGGTGCTTATGATGTGCAACACCACTCCTGATACAGCCGAGAATGCAAGTGAATCACAAAACCATTGGGCTGAGTGAAAGAACCCAGATACAAAGACAACGTACAGAATGGTTCCATTTATAGAAATTTCTAGAACAGGCAAAACTTATGGTGAAAGTAATAGGAACAGTGGTTGCTGGTTACTCCAGAGAAGGGGGAACTGGAAAGGAACCTCGGGAAATTTCTGGGGTGACAGCATCTTGTTTCTTGGTTGTGGTGTTGCTACACTCTGGGGTGCGTGTATATGTACATATAGAAACTCATCCCTCTGTTCGCTTAAGATCTGTGCGTCTCATACGTAAATTACACTTCGATATATCTTATTATTGATCAAAAGAGAGTTGGGATTTGACCTCCTGCAAGGCAGGTCTTGGAGAAGAGGGGCCCCTTTACCTACGGAGACTAACATCGAGGTCCAGCGCTGAGCAACGCCGCAGTCTGAGTCGCCAGCGCGGAAGGAAGCCCGCAGGGCTGGGCAGGCCCCGGGGCTGGGCAGGACCCGGTCCCCCACAGCGACGCCCGCCCAGAGCCAGAGCCGGCCGCTCCCTCGCGCTCGCTGCAGGCGCGGTCCCCATGCCCATGCGGGGGTCCCTGCGCGCACGTGGACCGGGTCGCCCCGAGCAAATCTCACTAGGCCACAGCTTTTCCAGGAAGAGCGTCCGCGCTGCCCACGTGCAAGCAGGCGCCCGGGGCTGCGGCGCTCGGGGGGTCCCGGGCTGGGGCGCTCGGGGGTCCGGGGCTGGGGCGCTCGGGGGGTCCGGGGCTGGGGCGCTCGGGGGGTCCGGGGCTGCGGCGCTCGGGGGGTCCGGGGCTGCGGCGCTCGGGGGGTCCGGGGCTGCGGCGCTCGGGGGTCCGGGGCTGCGGCGCTCGGGGGTCCGGGGCTGCGGCGCTCGGGGGGGTCCGGGGCTGCGGCGCTCGGGGGGTCCGGGGCTGCGGCGCTCGGGGGTCCGGGGCTGGGGCGCTCGGGGGTCCGGGGCTGCGGCGCTCGGGGGGTCCGGGGCTGCGGCGCTCGGGGGTCCGGGGCTGGGGCGCTCGGGGGGTCCGGGGCTGCGGCGCTCGGGGGGTCCGGGGCTGCGGCGCTCGGGGGTCCGGGGCTGCGGCGCTCGGGGGTCCGGGGCTGGGGCGCTCGGGGGGTCCGGGGCTGCGGCGCTCGGGGGTCCGGGGCTGGGGCGCTCGGGGGGTCCGGGGCTGCGGCGCTCGGGGGTCCGGGGCTGCGGCGCTCGGGGGTCCGGGGCTGGGGCGCTCGGGGGGTCCGGGGCTGCGGCGCTCGGGGGTCCGGGGCTGCGGCGCTCGGGGGTCCGGGGCTGCGGCGCTCGGGGGGTCCGGGGCTGCGGCGCTCGGGGGCCCGGCGGCGGGGCCCCGGCCAGGGCGCGTCGGAAACGCCAGCGAGAAGCGGAAGCCGGGACACACCCGCGGCCGTCGGCTTGGCCGGAGGAACTACCGGGTCCGGAGGTGCGCGCTCATCCCGGGCCCTGGCGGAGGCCTAACCGCGGGGGGCGGAGGAGCGCGGCCCCCGAGGGAGGGACGGCGCGGCCCGCGGGCTCCTTCCTCCGGGTCTGGGGTCGCGAGGGGCGGGAGGGGAGCGGAGGGGCGGGAAGGGAGGGGGCGGGAGGGGCGCGGCCCGGGCCCCCGGCCGCAGTGGGTGCACGAGCGGCCCTCCCCGCCCCCACCTCAGCTGCGCGCGTCTCCAGACCTCCCAGACCGCGGCCGGGGCGCGGGGGGCGCGCGAGGGGGCGCGGGGCGGGCGGGTCCCCCGCGCGACGTCCGCCCCGAGCCCCGCCCCCGCCCCGTGGGCCCCGCGTGCCGTGCGGCCCGGGCACCTGGCCGCCGGGTTCCCACCGCGGCCGCACGGGTGGAAGGACCGCGTCAGGCCGCCCCCGCCGCGTGTCCCCGGGGCCCTGGAGGCTCGTCGGTGCCGGGACTGGGGACGCGGCGGGCGCCCCGGGGCCGGGCCCGCCCTGCTCGTGCTGGTGCTCGTGCCTGCGCCTCGACGGCCTCCGGCCTCCGATCTGCGCTTGGCGCACCCCGCCGGCCCCCTGACTTAGCAAGGCTGAGGACCACTCCTTAGCTGGTAGGAATGGACACTTTACTTTTTTTTTTTTTAATTTGCTCTTTTTTAAAAAAATTTACTCTTTTTTAAAATTTATTTTTACTTTTTTTTTATTTTTAAAAAATTTTTTAAAATTTACTCCCTCTCGGGGGGATCCCTGGGTGGCTCAGCGGCTTAGCGCCAGCCTTTGGTCCAGGGCACGATCCTGGAGACCCGGGATCGAATCCCACGTCGGGCTCCCTGCATGGAGCCTGCTTCTCCCTCTGCCTGCGTCTGCCTCTCTCTCTCTCTGTGTCTATCATAAGTAAATAAATCTTTAAAAAAAAAAAATTTACTCCCTCTCCTTTCCCCGTGTAAGCTTCCTAAAAGGAGGAGAAATTTGGGTTGCTTTTCCTTTGCTCCACTCCACTATGGGCCTAGTAAGCTGGGCTCAAAAGGATAAAGGGGCTTGCATAGGTAGCCTGGTCTCGCTGAGGGCCACCGTCTGCCCCCTGTTCTGTGCCCAGCTTTTCTATCTGATAGTGTGGCCATCCCTCACTGTCATCAGACTGTCTTCTAGAATGTGAGAAAGGCATCAGTAGGAAATTCAGGAAGGAGTACAGAGGATCAACCAGCATGGATCGTGTGTTAGGCCTGGTCCTAGCTCAGATGGGTCATGTGCTGCGTAATGCAGGATCCATACCACAAGCATCCTCATTTCACATACTTAGAAACAAAACCAAAGAGGCCCCATAACCTGCCCAAGTCCACACAGCCGTTTTGTGCTGAGACCTGTACCGCAGAGCATGCCACTGTCATCAGTGCGATGGAAATTAAAAGCAGCTGTGAGATAATCATTTTCCTTGTGTGTTTTGTGGGACTCACACTGTACCTGGCAGGCTCACCCTCAAATTTCTCCTTCCCCAGTTTCCCAAGTGTTGAGAAAGGGCCCCACTGCCTGCCCTGTCGCCCAAGCCAGAAGCAGGCTCCCTGCACACCCCCACCCCCTACTCCCCATTTCCTGTCTGATCCAGCCTCCCCTGGGCTCTCACTGGGGCCATGGCTCCAGGTTGCCACATGCTCGATCCCAGGGGGCCATGGCACCCGTGAAACCCAGCCTCCTGTGAACAGGCAGCAGGAAGCTTGCCCCTCTGAGCCATGCTGCACATTAGCCCAGGTGATGGCCCCAGATATTGAAGGGAACCTTCATGGAAGCTTCTTGGCCATCCCCAGGACCAGGAGGGGCATCCTCAACACCTTGGCCACCTGCACCTGGGTCCTCACACCTCCTGCCTCCTTGACCCCACTGCCCAGGGGTTTTGAATAACTAACTAACAGGCCAACTAAACTTCCTGCCCAAGGTCCTCCAGCCCATGGGAGAATCGGCTGGGCCTCAAACCCTGCCCAGGCCTGGCTGCCGTCCGAGAGCTCCTTCCTGGAAGACGAAGCCCAAGTTTTCTGAGCCCTTCCCTGTGACTGTGGGTCAAGGGCCACTTTGCTTGGCCCTACCTTTGCCCTTGACCCAGACCTAAGCTCAACCATGGGCCACAGCTGTTGGTGTCCCAGGCCTGATGCCAGCCCTGCTCTGGCACATCCTACCTACTCGGGCACATGCCCAGGAAAGGGATTGTCACCTCAAGGTTTGCTGATAACAGCTTGTTGGATATAACGGGGAGCTCCCCAGGCAGGCGCCCCACACCTCCCTGACCACGCACCATGGCCTTCCTCTGGCTCCTCTCCTGCTTCGCCCTCCTGGGCACAGCCTTCGGTGAGTTTGGGGCAAGCAGAGGCCAGGAAGGATGTCTCTGCTCCCCGTCAGCCCCTGAGGCCAGAAGGGCAACAGGATCCCTGCTCCCCGTGCAGCTGCACACGGTGGTGTGAGCCTGAGTGGGTCTCTCTCCCCACCTGAGCCTCAACAGCTGGGAGGATTGGACTGAACTAGCCAGCAGGAGGCCCCCAGGAGGAGGTGGGCCTTCCTGCGACTGACCCAAGAGGCCTTGTACCCTGTGCAAGGGACAGGGAAGACAAATCCAGTGGGGGCAAAGAATCTCAGAACAGCTAGGGGCTCCCAAATGGGTGCAGAGGGAGAGCAGGTGGGCAGGTGTAGCTTGGCCACCACCAGCGCTTTGGAACCCTTGAACCCGGCACTTTTAAACTTGTGTTCACTGAGCGCTTACTATGTGCCGGGGCCAGAGCAAGTTCCTGCTTTGCCTGCTTAGTCTTCTTGCATCCTTTTTTTTTTTTTTTAAGGATTTATTTATTTGAGAGAGAGAAAAAAATGAGTAGGGGAGGGGCAGGAGGAGAGGAGAGAAGCAGACTACCTGTTGAGCCCAGAGCTCAGTGCAGGGGTGGGGTGCCGATCTCACAACCCTGAGATCAGGACCTGAGCCTGAAATCAAGAGTCGGATGCTCAACAGACTGAGCCACCCAGGCGCCCCGTCTTCTCGCATCCTTATCCCAACTTTGTGAGGTTAGGCAGCAGCTGTATGATCTCCTCTGCGCGGAGGGGGGAATGATGACAATGCTCAGCCAGGCCGCACGGGGCTGGGTTTCAGACCCGCAGAGCCCTGCCTCCAGCCCATGCTGGGGCCCTGCCACCACCTCTCAGCCCACCTGTTGGGCTTGTCTGGGCTGAAGCATACGTCAGACTGAATTTCCCTGGGGTTCCTGGGAGAGTAGGACCTGGGCAGGGAGCCCGTGGCCCCCACCCTCCACCCCTTACCTCGCACCCCCTCCAGGCTGCGGGGTCCCCGCCATCCAGCCGGTGTTAAGTGGCCTGTCCAGGATCGTCAATGGGGAAGACGCTGTCCCGGGCTCCTGGCCCTGGCAGGTGTCCCTGCAGGTGAGGGGGTTTTCTGTACGTGAGTGGGGGACACACTGGGGTATGAGCCAGGCTGGGGGCTACTGGCGTCCAGGTAGGCCTGACCCTCCCCGTCTTCCTCCAGGACAGCACCGGCTTCCACTTCTGCGGGGGCTCCCTCATCAGCGAGGACTGGGTGGTCACTGCTGCCCACTGCGGGGTCAGGTGAGGCCCCAGGGTCCCCAGGAAACCCCTTGGTAGGGGGGAGACTCAGAACTGAGGGCTGGACCTAGGACATCCTTGTTCCTCACTTTCCTTCTTTCGGAATGTGTAGAAAACCCTGCTGGTCTCCCAAAGTCACCAGGAGGGAAACACCTGGTGGGCTGTAGGTGCAGTTGTTTCGGGGGCGATAACTGATATTTTGAGCTCCCATCTCTGAGCATGTGCACAAAGGGACAGACGTGTACCCTGCACCCCAGCAGGCCCCACCGCCTCACAGCAGGAACCCCCTCCCTTCTCTGGCCCTCTCCAGAACCACCCACCAGGTTGTAGCCGGGGAGTTCGACCAGGGCTCAGCTGCTGAGAGCATCCAGGTGCTGAAGATCGCCAAGGTACGGTGGCCCTGGGGTGACCCCAGGCACAGCAGGCCCTCGGGAGTGCACAGCCCGGGCTGAGGCCTGAACACCCCCAGCAGCTCCCAACCGCCCCGGCACCCCATTGGGACGGGGCGGAGCAGAAGGCAGCGTGTCCAAGGTCCACATATTGGTCCCGGCCCTGACCTCTGGCTCCTGGGGCCGCAGGAGGAGATCTGAGGTAGCCTGGCGCCCGGTCCCCCCACCCCCCCGCCCCGGCCTCCTCCCAGCCCCCCATCACCGCAGCTGTCCACCCCACCCCACAGGTGTTCAAGAACCCCAAGTTCAACATATTCACCATCAACAACGACATCACCCTGCTGAAGCTGGCCACGCCCGCCCGCTTCTCCGAGACCGTGTCCGCCGTGTGCCTGCCCCAGGCCACCGACGACTTCCCTGCCGGGACCCTGTGTGCCACCACGGGCTGGGGCCTGACCAAACACACCAGTGAGTGACCTCCAGCTGGGGGCAGGGGGCTGGAGAGCGGGGCTCTGGTTGCTGACCACCCACCCTGCCCTTCCAGATGCCAACACCCCCGACAAGCTGCAGCAGGCGGCCCTGCCCCTCCTGTCCAACGCCGAGTGTAAGAAGTTCTGGGGCAGCAAGATCACCGATCTTATGGTCTGTGCGGGTGCCAGTGGCGTCTCCTCCTGCATGGTATGGCCTCCCGGACTCACCTGGCACCCCCTTCCCTCCCAGCCTGGGGTGGGTTCAAGCGAAAGCCCAGGCCAGGGGTCTTGGCTAGAGAGAGGAGATGGAGTAACACACAGGCCTCTTTGGAGGGCCTGACACTCTCTCCTTGGAATTCATGCTTGACCAGTTGTAAACACGGTTGGCTCTCCCGGCCGATCACCAACGACCTCAACGGACGGATGCCCGAGCAGGGGGCTCTGGTCTTGAAACCCACCACACTGCAAAATTCCATTGAAATCAGGAACTGAGCAAATGGCGCCCCTGGAGCAGAGCAGTACGCAGCCTGGGTAGTGGAGTGTGGTGCCCAGGTGTCTGCAGATGGGGTCGGACAGCCCTTCTCCCTCACCACGGCTCCACGGCCAGGCCGGCACCAGCCAGGCTTCCTTCCTGTCAATCAAACCAGCTTTATCAGGCCTCTATTATAGGGCGCAGGTGATGGCCCAGACTCGCAAGGGCATAAACCACAGAAGTTGCTGCTCGGTCATTCTTTCATCCCCCTCCAATACTGGTGTGCTGGGTGTCTACTGGCTGTCAGGCTCTGGACTGGGCTCTGGAATAAGGTCCAGGGGTCCCTAGGGCCAGGCCACCTGGGCTGCTGGATCTAAGCCTCCTCCCCTCTCCCTGCAGGGTGACTCTGGTGGCCCCCTGGTCTGCCAGAAGGATGGAGCCTGGACCCTGGTGGGCATCGTGTCCTGGGGCAGCAGCACCTGCTCCACCTCCACTCCTGGCGTGTATGCCCGTGTCACCAAGCTCATACCCTGGGTACAGCAGATCCTGCAAGCCAACTGAGTCCCCCACCCCCACCCTGACCTCTCTGCAGACCCTGTTTCCACAAAGTCTCCATAAAGCAATAAAAGACACATTGATGATGTCTCCTGTGTTGAGGCCGCTGAGACCGCATTCTGCTCTTGAACTTGCGTCTTCACTGGGACAAATGGCAGGGGGTCCTTGGCGGGGGGGCCCTCTGTAGTCTTGCTCCTAAGAGATGAAGTGGGACCTTGGTCCCCCCCCACCCATCCGTGCCCCAGGGAGTGGGCAGAGAGCAGGCATCTGGGGCACAAGCCAGCTGCTGGCTGCATGCACCTGTGGTTCCAAAGAACCTTCCCAGGAGCAGCCCCTGGGCTGCCTCTTTCCCAGGCCTGCACAGGAGCCAGGTGTTTCTCAGCCCAAGGCCACATGATAAGGACAGGATGGTGGGGCAGGCCGCAATTGGTGGGCTGGGGGATATAACGGGGGTCCTTTGGACAGACCCTATCGCATCTCCCAAGCCACACACCATGGCCTTTCTCTGGGTTGTCCTTGGCTTTCTTCTCTTTGGCAGCAGCTCAGGTAAGCGCAAGGTTCAGGCAGGCCTGGTGGACCCAGATCAAGCCTCTCCCACCCCTGGCCCCCACAGCCCAGAAGGGCCAAGTCCTCACACTCCCAATCACCCACCCCGGCTGGCCCCACAGCGTCCCTTCTCAGGCCCCCTTGGGGCCTCTCCTCCGCTCCCTGCTCCTCCTCTGCCTAGAGGTCCCACGGGCCCCTCAAACTCAACTGGACCTGGTGGACCTGCCTCATCCTGGCCTCCTCCATCCACCCAGAAGCCGGGGGTCGTCCAGGTTCCTCCATCATCTGCATCTGTCTCTGAGCTGTAGGAATCCTGCCTGGGGAATGTGTCCCTGCCCTTCTGTCCTCTGGGTAGAGTAGCACTTTGGCCCCGCCGACCTGCTCCTGCTGCAGGGACAGCCCTGGGGACTCAAGCAGGACATCCCAACCCCAGGCCCCAGACCCCTGGGTTTGGAGCTGGAGGGATGCTCTTCTCGGGGCTCATGGTGGGGCGGGGAGCTGGCTACCTGGGTCTCTGGACCCAGCTGTCTGGCTCTAGGCCCCAACTCCAGATGCCCCCGGCCTCAAGGACCCTCCTCCACAAGGGCACCGAAGGCAGCGGCCGGCTGGGTGGGGAGGGGCTGAGGGCCCTGCAGCGGCCAAAGCTCTGGGGGCTAGGTGGCCACAGAAGCCTGAAGTGCCGGGTCTTCCCCCCTGGCCCCCTTGCGGCATCATCCACTGACCAGCTGCTCTGTCCCTGGTCCCCAGGCTGTGGGGTCCCTGCCATCCACCCCCAGCTGAGTGGCTTGTCCCGGATCATCAATGGAGAGGATGCTGTCCCCAACTCCTGGCCCTGGCAGGTGTCCCTGCAGGTGAGGGGTAAGCCGGGCGTGGGGAGCTTCGAGTGGGAGGCGTGTGGCAGGAGGCAGGGCTGACTGCACCTCCTCTCTCCCAGACTAGCTCCGGCTTCCACTTCTGCGGGGGCTCCCTCATCAGCCAGCACTGGGTGGTCACGGCCGCCCACTGCGGGGTCAGGTGAGGCCAGCACCGGGGGTAGGCGCCCCCGGGGGCGGGAGCAACCTCGCTCCTTCCCCAACAGCCCCTCCAGGCACTGCGAGCTGGCAGGAGGGTCTGGCAGGTGGCAGCTGGGGAAGGAGCTCTTATGTCCCGCTACAGACAGAGCCGCGGCCCTGGGAGACAATCCCCGCCCTGTGCCCCCCGCCCCCCCAGACCCCAGCCTGGTCTGGTCCCGGAGGCGGCCCCCTTGGGGGCGAGTGGCTGTCACCTCAGCAGGCACTCTTCCCGGGCACCCCTCCGAGGTGGCCAGTGCCTGAGCACCCTGTCTCTCCAGGAAGAGCCACCTGGTGGTGGCTGGGGTGTCCGACCACAGCTCTACGGAGGAGGCCGTGCAGGTGTTGCCCATCGCTGAGGTACTGAGGCTCACGGCAGCGCTGCCCGGGGGTGGGGGTGGGTGGGGGGGTAGTGGGGGGCCCCTCTGCTCAGGCCTCACCCCCTCAGATGTCTCAGTCCAGAACCTTCTTTCCCGAGTCTTAAAGCTCCTTCACAAATACTGAAGGAGGTCGTTTCCGATTATAAAGTTACGTTTTGCTCACTGAGGAAAAGCACAAAAATGTAAAAACTACATACCACCAATGTGTCAAACGCCAGCTTCCAGGGACTCTGTCTGCAGCTCCATCTGCGTTCCTTTCTGGGCGCCCGCCCCCCTTCCATCTCCCCTGGAAGATGAAGAGCCCCCGCCCCGTGTCCCCAGGTTTTCGAGCACCCCCTGTGGGGCCAGGATCTGGGCCCCTACGACATCGCGCTGCTGAAGCTGGCCGCGCCCGCCCTGCTCTCGGCCACCGCGTCCCCCGTGTGCCTGCCCGGCGCCAACGCCAGCTTCCCCGCGGGCTCCCTCTGCGCCACCACGGGCTGGGGCAGGACCCGGTACAACTGTGAGTGTCCCGGGGGCTTCCGCAGGCAGGCTCCTTCGGCTCCAAGTGCTGGAGCCCAAGCACGTCCACTGCGAGTCATAAATCTGGTTCTTTAAAACCCTCCCAAGGAAAAAGCTACCAAACAAGAGTAGAGATGAGCATAGACTCTGCTGGAAGACGAAGCGGCTGAGAAACAGCCAAGTACCAGCAAGCCTCGCCCCCGCCTTGCACCAGGGCCCCTGTCGCCCCATCCCCGCCCCGACTGCTCCCCACACCCAAGGACAGTGGCCGTGTTGAGCCGCTCAGGCGTCCGGGTGCAGGGGGTGGGGGCCCCCCTCGGTCTCCGGCTGCTCCCCGCCCGCACTCCCCCTGCAACGTCGTCCTCGCTGCTCCTGCCCAGGCCCCAGCTCCCCTGCTGGCCCTTTAACAGGACAGGAGCGGCCAGGGGAGGGGGCTCCCTCCTGTGCCCCCCCAGAGCGGCGCGCCCCCGCGGTGTCCCCGGGCCCAAGGGTGTCAGCCCCCTTCCCTGGGAGACAGCGCCCCCCCAGCATCTCCCAGGGCCCAGGCCGCACGGAAGCGGGTGTGTGTGGGGGGGGTGTGGGGGGGTGGGGGCTGTCTGAGCACCACCGGGGCCGCAGGCGCTGTTCATCTCAGGGGCGGTTGGCAGCTCCGGTCCCGGGGCCGCGGCAAAGGCCAAGGACTAGGACCAGGCAGGGGAGGCGGGGTCTCCAGGCGGCCACTGGTCCCTGCCACCGGGAGGGGGGGGTCCTGATCCCCCCGGCCGGCTGTGTCCCCGCAGCCAACAAGACCCCCGACAAGCTGCAGCAGGCGGCCCTGCCCCTCCTGTCCAACGCCGAGTGCAAGAAGTTCTGGGGCAGCAAGATCACCGACGTGATGATTTGCGCCGGTGCCAGCGGCGTCTCCTCCTGCATGGTAGGCCCGGCTCTGCCCTCCCTGCCCTCGCCCTGCCCTGCTCAGGCCCGCTCGGGTCGGGAGGGCGGCTCCTCTCTGCGGCACCTGCTCCCCCTGGCCCAGGCCAGCTGCCCTGGCCGGGCTGGTGCGGGGCTCCCGGGGTGATGGCGTCCTCCTGCCAGCCCCCCTGAGCTCGATGTGTCCAGCCCGTTGTGCAGACACCGGCCCGGTCAGGGGGTTAGCCCGCTGCCCCAGGCCCTCCGGGAGCAGGTGACAGCTGGGGCTGCCATGGGGCCACAGCTGGGGGCTCCTGCCCGCTCCCCGTGCCCACACTACGCTGGTCATTTCCCTGCACAAAACCTGGGCTGGGGAAGGGCGGGGCACACCAGGGTCCTGGCACCCCGCTTCAGCCTTGGAAACGAGTCCCTTCTCCTCCTGCAGGGTGACTCTGGTGGCCCCCTGGTCTGCCAGAAGGATGGAGCCTGGACCCTGGTGGGCATCGTGTCCTGGGGCAGCGGCCGGTGCAACCCCTCCTCACCAGGGGTGTACACCCTTGTCACCAAGTTTATTCCTTGGGTTCTTGAAATTCTGGAGGCCAACTGAACCCTGTCCCATCCACTTCTGAAAAATGCAAATAAAACCCCCAAGAGCAACCACATGCCTCTTCTTTGTGTCTTCACCGGGTTGCGGGGGGTGGGAGGATGGCTGCCTTCGCCGGGGTCCCCTCTGTGTAGTTCGGAGCCGAGGGCTGACAGATCCTACCCTTTCTGCATAGACGTAGGGAGAGTGAGGCCAAGGTCCCACGCAGGACAGTCAGAGCCAGGAGCAGCACCCTGGCACCTCGGGGTGCCAGACATACTCCGAGTCTGGAGAGGACACACTCACTGATCCAGGGCAGGGGCCCTCTGTGCCCCCACACCCCAACCTGGAGGCCAAGTCTACATGTAGTTCAAATAAGACACTTTGGAAGAAGTCTCACAAGCCGAAACAATGAGCTTAAGAGCAAAGTTCCGAGTGAAGCTGGTGAAAGCGAGTTTAGGAGGAACGAGCGTCCCCAGTGGTGCCTTCAGTGGGCCTTGGAAGGCGCGGCCACAGAGCCCAGCAGGCTCCCGGAGGCGCTGCAGTCCGCACTGGCTTCCCTCAGGCCTCGCCGCCCTCCTCGGCCGCTGCGCTCAGGTCCTGCTGTTTGATGTTGGCTCAACTTCTCTCCAGCAGCCTTGGCTCCCAAGGTCTTGGGGCCACTGGCAGACCTGCCCCCACCTTGCAGAAGATGCCTGGCCGGGCCCTGTTTCTCAGGGCTTTGGTTTTCTCCTGAAGGGACCCAATCTTTCTTCAGCGTCCTGAGAAGCCACCCACAGCTTCACCACACACCCCCTCAATCTGCTGCTCCTACCCTGTGGTTCCCAGAGCAAGGACACACCTGCCCACATCCACGAACCCTCCTGGCTCTCACACCTCTTACACCGGAGGCTTTTCATTTTTAAATTTTTATTTAAATGTAGACTATTAGTCAAATGATTGGAAAATCAATAATGAAAAATAGTGTTTTAGAGTTTTTCTCCTGGTATAGTGGCGCTTGCGCTGCAGGGGGCTGGGGACATGGCACTCCTGTGGCGCCAGACTCAGCTCAAGGGGTCATCTGAGGCCATGTGGGTCGAGGGGCCTCTGTGCCCAGGCCTAGCCCCCAGCGTACTCAGGGAAGACCACCAGCCCACTCCTCAGCCTCGGTTCCTGCGGGCCCAGCTCTGCTTGAGCTCCTCGGAGGAGACACCGTCCCATATCCTGCCCCATCATAAATATGTACAAATCCCTGCACAGTCTGGGGCACCAGGCCCAGGCAGAGCTGGGGTGCCTGTCCCCATGCGCAACCCTCTCAGGGCAGGTGCCCTGGGCAGCTGGGACCCTCGCTGCCCTACTCCCCTGACCCCCATCCCTCTGGTCATCTGCCCTCAGGCAGCAGCCAGCTGGCCCAGGACCCGGCGGAACTGCTGAGTGCTGTGCCCTAGCTCCTTGACCCTGTCCACCATGTCCTGAGCAGCGGCAGGCGAAGGGTACTGCAAGGCAGCGGCCTTGGTGGTGGCAACAATGCCACGCAGGAGGTCACACAGCAGGTTGCTGTAGTGGGTCACCTGGCTGCGCACGTCGGCCGCCTTGGCCTGCCGTGACAGTGTGTCCCCAATGAACACCAGCTTGTGGGCACTGAGGATGACGAACTTGCTGTGTGCCACGAAAATCTTGGGGGGTTGGTTGGTGGCCACGGCGGTAAAGAAGGCATCCACCGCGTTGGTCAGGGTGGTCAGGTTCGCCTCGCACTGCTCCAGGTAGAAGAGCAACAGCTGCCGGTCCGAGGGCCCCAGGCTGCCTGTCCGCCCTGGGGCCAGGGGCTGGGTCGGGGTCCAGTTGGCCAGGTCATGGTCTATGGGCCGTGACACTTCCTGCTCCAGTCGCTCAAACTGCTTCAGCTGGGGCGGAAGGAAAGCAGAGTGAAAACCACAGCCACACAGCCCAAAGGAAATAAAGGGCTGGCTCCCGGCAGGAGTGTGTGACACAAGCCACCTCCATGCTACAGGCAGAGCACCAGCCTCCCTGAGAGTCTCCCTGTAGCTTCTGCTGATCCCAAAAGATATGATTCCATCTATGTAAGATTTTTGAAATAACAAAACGATGGAAATGGAGACCAAATGAGCAGTCGCAGTGGTTAGGGACGTCGGTCTCTTGGTCTGGGTGCTGCTATTTACTTAGGATGCTATCACTGTGGGAAACGGGGTGAAGGGTACCCGGGACAGTTTCGTACTCTCTCAGCAGCTCCCTATGAATCTATATATACTTTAAAACGAATCAAAAAGAAAACCACATTTTGTTTTTAACGTAGATGTTATAAATAAATTACACAGGGGCGCCTGAGTGGCTCAGCTGGTGAAGCGTTCCCCAGGTCATGATCTTGTGGGATCCAGCCCTGTGTCTAGCTCTGTGCTCAGTGGGAGTCTGCCAGGATTCTCTCCTCGCTCTGCTCCTTCCCCCACCCGTGCTTGTGCACACGCTCTCTAAATAAATTTAAAAAAAAAAAATCAAATACACCAAGCAGAAAAAAGGATAGCTGTCACCTGGAATCCCTGCACTCAGACGTTGCCATGAAATATAATCTGATGAAATATAATCCTGGTTAATTATCTTTTAGAACGAAACACTAAAGTATTTGCAGATGAAATGATGTAATGTCTCCAAAATGGTTTGTGGGGCAAGGGTGCCAGATAACCAGGTTAGCAGTTGTGCTGAGAGGGGTTGGGGTGGGTGAGTGGTACCCAGGGGACTGCCTTCTTTAATTTTATAAAGGTATTCAATTTCCCGTAATAAAAACCTTAAACAGAAGAAGAAATATAGGAGGAGCTATAGAAATATAGCTTAGTTGGTAGAGCGTGTGACTTGATCTAAGGGTTGTGAGTCTCAGCCCCATACTGGGTGCAGACTTAAAATCTTTAAAGAAGACTTAAAATCTTAAAAAAGACTTAAAAATCTTTAAAAAAAATGAAGAAAGGTCACTGTATTTGTAAAACTTCATAAAACAAAATTCACATAAACAAATGGTGACTATTCTTCAAGATGCTTTCCTTTAAACATGAATATTCCTATCTCCTTTTTTTTAATTTTTTTAATTTTTATTTATTTATGATAGTCAGAGAGAGAGAGAGAGACAGAGACAGAGGCAGAGACACAGGCAGAGGGAGAAGCAGGCTCCATGCACCAGGAGCCCGACGTGGGATTCGATCCTGGGTCCCCAGGATCGCGCCCTGGGCCAAAGGCAGGCACCAAACCACTGTGCCACCCAGGGATCCCCTCCTATCTCCTTTTTAATTAGACTAGACACATAGCACATGTGCCCCCAGAACATGGGAGTTATGGGACCCACCCACCTCGCAAACACCTGTGTGTAACTTCTGAAAAGGTCAACGACTAATCAATAGCCTGTTCCCTGGAAGCCTTACCAATAACACAAATAGTTGATTAACACCTATTTTGTACTTTACATGTATCATATACTGTTTCCTTACAACACGGAATTGTTTCAGTATTTCCACACTACATGGTTCATCTCCAAGTTTTTTCAAACTGCCCTCATCTCCAATACATTTATTGAAAAAAATCCAGATATAAGTGGATCCATGCAGTTGAAGTCCATGTTGTTCTACAGTCAACTGAACGTTCAGTATTTTATAACCGACTTCTAGCCCTTACCAACAGGTCATACTGTCTGCCAGGAGATATAAATGCAGGGGGGAGGAGAATTTCCACTCCTGGCAGCCTCTGCCTCAGGAGTCATCCCTCTGATCTCATGTTCACTTCCCCAGAGCTGGTTCTGACCAGGCAACTGAGTGGCTGTGACCAGCTGTGCACGGGCTCAGGGACAGACACTCACTCAATTCTCACACTGACCCTGGGATGGACACAACTATGACCCCTACCTTACACAGCTGGCTGGGCAAGCTGTGGCTTTGTGGGTTCAGGTGTGAGCCACGGGTTCTCACTTATGCCATCCTTCCCCATGCCCAGGGGGACGGTGGGGTGCAGGAAAACGTGATGGGTCATATTTCTGTGTTTATTTTGTGCTAGTCTGTAATTTAACTTTTTATCATCTTCATAATCAGAATAAAACTATCTTTTTAAAAAAATTTATGTATTTACTTGAGCAAGAAAGAGAGAGAGAGGGCACAAGCAGTGGGAAGTGGTAGAGGGAGAAGCTGAGTCTTCTGTGAGCAGGGAGCCCACCATGGGGCTTGACCACAGGACCTGGGATCATGATCTGAACCAAAGGTAGATGCTTAACTGAGCCACCCAGGTGCCCCTAAAACTACCTTATTTCTTAAAAGGAAAAAAAAAAAATCCCTTTCCCATTCTCAAGTGATCTAAAGTATGAAGAAAATTCTACATCTGCAGATAAACACAGCAGTACCATTATAAGAAGGGAAACTGGGTACAATGTGAACATTCAACAATAAGAGATGTTATGTGGCCTTTAACAACAGTTTATGAGGAATGTTTAATGCTATGGAAAAACCTTGAGATGAAAGCAGACGTAAATATTCACAAAGTATCATCTCAAACACAGGAGAGAGAGAGGCCGCCCTGGAGGCCCGAGCAGAGCTACAAACCAGCCCCCGCACACTGCACTGCACCCGGTCTTTTTATGCTTTTCTGTATGTGTTCCCCCAAAACTCACGTATAAATCCACCCAACACAGATTGCCGTGCGGCTGAGCAGGGAGGGGTGGCAGGCCCCCTGCAGACAAGCCACCCGAACCCAGGGACGCCGGTGAACCAGGCACCCTTACCTGCTGGAGCTCCAGCTGGCCCTTCCCCTGCCGCATGATGTTGCCTTTCTCCAGCAGCTCCTTCTGGGTCTTCTCAAACTCTTCCTTCCCCTGGAGGCAAGGCACAAGGACCCTGCTGAGCTTAGAAGCCCCCTAGGCCTGGTGGAGCTTGGGGCCTCAGAGGTGGCCACCAGGTGGCACTGCAGGCCACGCTCAGGCTCTGGCTGGCGGGCACCAGGCCCACAGTGGGGATGGCTTCAGAGGGGGAGAGGGAGGGGGAGGGGAGGGGGAGGAGGAGGAGGCAGTGGTGGCTGCAGCTCCTCTCCAGCTCTTCTCTGGGCCCCTTTCACCAAATGACAGCCCAGGAAGGGGCTGGGCATACTCCATGTGGCCAGACCATTCTCCCTGCCCCTGCTCCTACACCAGAAATCACATTCCAACCCTTCCCCTTGGCATTACAGGGCCTGTTCACCCATTTCTGACCGCTTGGCACCTGCTAATCCTCGGCACCTGCTGATCCTCAACCTGAAATGGTCCTTCTTGGGGCACTGAGTTGGCACCCAGGTCTCACCTCTACTCCCACCTTTTCATCTCCTTGCTTTATTTCCCCTCACCTAGAACTATCTTTGTCTTTGCTTATACTTAAAAATCTATCTCCAGCCACTTTTGCCCTAGAGAAGCGCAGCCCCTGCAGGTGCTCAGGAGCCATCCTTGGCTGGCACTGCAGGGCCCTGATAACATGGCCATGTTGGTCCAAAGGCCTGAGGTTGGTCGAGGAACGGGTTTGAGCGGGTGGGGGGGGGGTGCATCTGGACTGGAAGGTCAGAGAGTGGCACGGGGATTCACTGAGGCCTACTGGGGCCCAGATTCTCTTTTGGCCACAAGAACCCTCAGTGTGGAGGGGATCAAGGTCCCTATGACAGGGGTAGCAGAATTAGAGAGCTGACAAGGCCAGAAGGCTGCCCCAGAGTATTCCCAAGGTAGGCACTTACCTGCAGGTGGACATAGTCGTAATCCTCCATCCAGCCCCCCTCACTGTTCTCATACTGCCCGTCCGGGGAGTCCTGGGAGGTGAACTTAGGGGGTGAGGGCAGAGGCCGGGACTGGATGCTGCTGGCCTTGTCAATGGGATTGGGGTGCAGGGGACCACCTCCCTCAGGCCCTGGCCCAGGGGCCTTGGTCCGTCTGAAGAGCAGCGAGGCATTGCCATGCAAGAAGGAGGCCAGCTGCTTGGCATCCTCAGGCACAGCCCGTGAGCAGGCTACCAGGCGGTCCAGGTCTTCGGGAGTGGCCCCTGGGGCTCCCCGGCCACTGTCGAGGGCCTGACCATGGGCCACCAGTGTCTGGTACACATCCTCCATCTTCTGCAGTTGCCGGCTAAGCTTCGCATGCAGCGTGCGGTCAGAAGTGTGGGCAGCGTTGCCTATGGCGCTGCGGGCAAACTCCAGCAGCTCGTGGACAGCCCCCTGGACAGCAGCTACAGCAGCCCGCAGGTCCTGCAGCAGTGGCTCCGGAGGCTCGGAGGTGCTACGCCAGCTCCCGCACCCGCTGACGCTGCCTGCCAGGTCCAGGAGGTGGGCTACGGTGGCACTCACGCCCTGCTGCAGCCGTGCCAGGGCCTCCACCGCCACCTCCAGCTCCAAGGGCTCACGGCCCGGCACCGCAGCCTCCAGGGAGGAGGCCGACTGGCTGCTGCGTGTGCTCCCTGTACTGGAGGCCGACAGGCGCTTGGCATCCGTCGGGGCCTCTCGTTCTGCTGGCGGTGGCACTGCATACACATTGTCATCAGCCACGCCACCATCAGCCGCCTCAGGAGGAAGAAGACGCTCACGGGGCACGTCATAGAGGGTGCCGGGACCAGGCCGTCGCAAGCCAGGGGGCACATCATAGAGGTCAGGAGCAGGGGGAGGCACGTCATACACATCCTCAGCCGGCAGGGAGTCCGGAGGGGGTGCAGCAAGGACCAGCGGGTGGCGGGTCGGGTCAAAGGGCTTGGCCTTGGCAAAGGCAGGGGGTACGTCATAGGTCTCTTCACGCAACAGTGGGCCATCAGGCACGTCCTTGCTCACTGATGGAGGGACATCATACACCTGGGGGGCAGAGGAATGGTTAAGGCTGCCTGTCCACCCACCCACCCAGGGCCTTGGGGTAGGACCCAGGCACACATACAGGCATGGCGCAGGTGCAGTATCCGTTAACAGTTCTTATCCACACAGGTTACTGCAAAGAGCCCAACTCTGGAGCTAGATCAGAGTTCAAGATCCTGGCTCCACTGCTTGCTAGCTGTGTGACTTAAGGCAGGTGACTTGACCTCTCTGTGCCTATCTGCTCGGCTGTAAGACAGGAGAACTCTCTCACAGGTTGGTTGTGAGGATGACACGAGTTCATTCACTGTGCAACTACAAACGCTTGGTGAGAGGACAGCTGTCATGCCGCCACCACCGTCATCACCCCTTGCGTATTCTCTACTCTGTGGCAGGAACCTGGCTGATCTGTGTATTCTATTCAGGGTGACAACACCCTGGTTCACCCTGGACAGTCCTGGTTTGAGCCTGGTGCCCCCTCATAATGACTGGTCCCCTTTCACTCTTAGAAGTGTCCTGCTGTGAATGATCAACGGTGGCCTCCTGGCTAATACCCTGTGTGATTCTCTCAAGAGCTTGCTTCAGAAGGTCCACAGGCCTTTTATAGACAAGGCTGAGGCTCAGAGGACCACTCGGTTTCCACTTCTGTCACAGAGAGTAAGGGGCACAGCTGGTGCCTGCAATCCAGTCTCTTGCTGCCACCAGGCCTGGAGACGTGAGTCCCCGCCCCACAGCACGTATTCAGTCAAACCTGAAGCCTGGGTAGACATCAGGCCCCAGCATCCCAAATGCTCACCGCGTGGTGGTTAGTCAACGGCAGGCCTTTCTCCACACTGGGGGGCACGTCATACACGTCCAGTGATGGATCCCGGCCATTAGGACCCTTGACGGCCATGGGGGGCGTGTCATATACCTGAGGCAGAAAAGGTGCAGTGATACAGGTGCCAGGGCCACCTGAGGGGACAGGAAGAGCAGAACCCCACAGTACCAACCCGAGGACCACCCTGACCAGGGCAGAGAAAGCCCGGCTCCCTGAGCAGGGCCAGGCCAAAAACCCCCAGCTCTTAGATCCAATACCTACCTCTTGGCCATACTGGCTGGGAAGCAGCCCTCGAACAGGGGGCACGTCGTAGATGTCCTGTGGCCCCGGGGCTAGCAGGTGGCGTGGGATGTCGTACTCGTCCTGCTCTGGCTGGGAGGCCTCAAACACATATCCCTGCCCCACACGGGTGGGTACCACTACCTGGGGGCAGACAGCCAACTGTCACCAACCTGTCACCAACAGCCTGGACACCAACTTCCAGGACCCACCCTCAGATCCCCAGGGGAGAGTCTATACCCGCAGGAGGTAGGCGAGGCACACAAGGGGGGCTGTTTCCAAGAGTGGGCGTAGAGTCCAGGGAGAGGCAAGGGTATTCTCATCCCTTTGTATTCTTGCCCTTTCTTCGATGTGATACAGTGTCTGGGGTGCATTAGAACCCCCAGGGTTTGCTTACAGGCATCTGGTTCTGGCCAGGAAATGGCAGTGGTCTATACCTGGATGAGCTGGAGAGTCGCAGAGGAGGGTCCATGGGGACTGACAAAGAGGGTCATCCCTGACTAGGATGGCCCTGCCTGACAACACCTCCACACTGCACCCTCCTCAGAAAGGCTGCCCAGCAAGGGGCCTCCCCAACTGCGGGACCCAGCAGCCACCTCCTGGCTTTAGGACAGAGATGACAGTGCCAGGCTGTGCCCTCCTTAGGCTGGACCTAGACATGGCCTGCAGAAGGTACCAACAGTTGGGGCCTGGGGCTTCCAGAAGGTGGTACCCTACCCTCCTCATCAACCAAGCACATCCTGGGGACACTCCTGAAGGCAGGGCCACCAAAGACTCTCCCAGACCTCAGGGCCAGATCCTGGGCTATTCTGGAAAGTTGAGTGTGGGTGTGAGGGAGTGACCAAGACTAGAACCAAGACCCCCACGCTCCCCAGCACACCACACGCACATGGCAGCCAAGACCACCGCTAACCCGAAAAGGATAAGGCCTTAGTTAGGGGACGCTGGCCCAGAGAAGGGCTCAGCACATTCCCCTCTCTCGTAGGCTTCCCAGGCCTGGCGTCCAGGACAGCAAGCTGCTGAAAGCCCTTCTCACCGGCCTCTCCTTTCCCGGCAAGAACCCCGGGCCCTGCAGGAGCCTGCAGCCCAGTGGGAGGGGCTGGCCGGGTCTAACCCAGCTCAGGGCACGCCTCCCCCACAAGGCTCCCTGCTCAGCACTCCGGGACAGAAAGGCTTTTTTGTTCTCTAGTCAAAAGGGACGTCTGGAACAGAGTTGACTCAGGCCCTCCCCACACACATCTCTGGGGGCAACAGGGCTCGATGCCCCCAGAACCTGGCATCTCGTGCCTGCACCTAGTCCCCTAGGCACTGCCAGCCAGCTCTGCATGCCTGTGTGTCCTGTGTGTCTGCAAGCACTAGGAGCAGCAGAGTACCCCAGCCCCTGGAGGCACCCGCACTTTCCTGCCCAGCCCCAGGCCTGGCACGGCTGCTGCCGACACATCCTCTGCCCACCTCCCAGGCAGCACAGCAGACCTGGCCTCTCTGCTAGCTGCCAGGGCGAGCGCCTCCATGGGGTACTCCCCGTCCCCCACCCCCAGAGTGTCTGCAAGTGGAGTTGGCGGCCCTCCTCAGACTCATCTCCCTCCTTGAGCCCCAGACTTGAGTCTCCTCCAGAGTTATTTTTAGACGCTAGAACCTGCCAACAACAGGACAGGCGGGGCAGGCGGGGGCCAGCGGGACGTGGCAGGTCGGCAGGGCTTTGAGGCAAGACCCAAGGCATCTCCAGGCCCTGTGGACTCCAAAGGGCAGGTGGGGACCCAGCCCCATGAAGAAGGGTATGGACCTGCTCCCTCAGAGCCCCCACAGTGCCTCCCAAAGACAGAGACAGTAGGGAGCAGAGGCAGAAGGCCTCTGGGGCCGGACCCCAGGCCCAGGCTGTCGGCAGCTTGCCACTCCTGCAGCTGAGCTGGTGACAGTAAGCAGCTGCGCTGGCCAGCAAATGTTCTCCGTTAGAAAAAAACTGTAAGGCAGCCACCAGTGGGGAAATGCTTGTTAGGGAAACCCACTCTCCAGAGAGCTGCTGAGCCCGCTAATCACAGGCTGGCCTGCTCTGCACCTGAGGCCCCATTAGCAGGCCCCAAGGGCCCCGGGGGTGGGTGACACAGCCAGTGCCCAGGGGGAGACAGAGAACCCCTGACCCAAGACCCACATGCCCCCTCACACACGTCAACAGTGTAGAGAACACACAAAACCTCACAAAGACACACGAGAGACCCAGGCAGGGCAGGGTCTGCAGAGAACAGGGGTGAGAAGTCAAGCTGAAGGCCCAGAGAACCACCGGGAAAGGCCCCACCCCTGCTGCATTCTGCTGGGCCCCCAGTCACCCTCCAGGCAGCTCAGCTACCGGCCTCCCCCTTCTGCAAAGTGGACATCTCCCCACGTGACCCAGGCCGGCTCCCGCTCTGGCATGCCCACTCCCACCCAGGACCCTTGGCTTCTTTCTCTGGAGCACTGATGGAGCGCTGTAGGATCAAGGAGGTGACCATCTAAGCTCTCACCCAGAGTGAGGGACGTCCCAGACACGGCTCCCCTTCCAAGGTCCCGGGCTCCCCAGGAGAAGGACTGAGTTCAACTGTGTCTGCCATAGCACAGCTGTGGGCCCTGACCCAGAGGCACTCCCCCAAGAGGAACCTCTCAAAAACACCTCTATCTGGGGGCCCACCTGCTTCTGCCATAGAAGTCCCACAGCCACACCCCAGGCCAGAGGTGCTAAAGCTGCGGTGTGACCCTGATCTCTTTCCCAGCCGTACAGGCCACTCTGCCCCAGGCTCCTGGCATTTGTTTTTTGTTGTTTTTTTTTTAATTTTTATTTTTTTTAATTTTATTTATTTATTTTTTATTTATTTATGATAGTCACACACACACAGAGAGAGAGAGAGAGAGAGAGAGGCAGAGACACAGGCAGAGGGAGAAGCAGGCTCCATGCATCGGGAGCTCGACGTGGGATTCGATCCCGGGTCTCCAGGATCGCGCCCTGGGCCAAAAGGCAGGCGCTAAACCGCTGCGCCACCCAGGGATCCCGGCTCCTGGCATTTGACCTCATCACTCCCCTCTGGCTTCCTGGATCATAGGGCCCCCTCACCCCACCCACAGTTCTGGCAGGGTCCCTCCTCACACCACCTGATCTCTTGAACGAAGAGCCTCAGTTTCCCAGACTTCTGAGGGGAAGCCCAAGATTTATGAAAAGCACAACCTTGAAACGTGGGCAGAGAAGCACAGTTATCATCTGTTTGTAATCCACACCCATGTGATGAGAAACTGCCTGAAGCCTGTTGCAAGGCAAGGGGGTGACACAGTAAAATCTGGGGTGGCCATCACAATCACCTTAGGGACCCAAGAAAATGCTTTTGACATCTGTGGGAGCTACAATTCCAAAATGCAAAAGTCTGCATACAGGGCAGCCCTGGTGGCTCAGTGGTTTAGTGTCGCCTTCAGCCCAGGGTGTGATCCTGGAGACCCAGGATCAAGTCCCACGTAAGGCGCCCTGCATGGAGCCTGCGTCTCCCTCTGCCTGTGTCTCTGCCTCTCTCTCCTGTGTATTCTCATGAATAAATAAATAAAATTTAAAAAAAAGTGCATACAAATTGGTGCAAGACAAATAAAGAACGTGCTATAGATAAAACATGCCAAAATTCCCAGTGATCACCTCTTGATTGGGGCATCTCCTCTCCAGGCTTCTTCACACGTTATGTGTTTTCTGCGACAAATAATCACTGCTCTCATGATCATAACCTAAAAGCAGATGCTACCAGAGGCTGCCCAGGCCAGGAGCAACGAGGCTTCTCGGAAGGGCAACCCAGCTCAGGACACAGGGTTCTCCTTTCAGGGCCACCAGCCAGGCCAGAGCCCTCGGGGACACAGGCTCTGAGCAGCCCTATCACTGGGCCCAGCTAGTTAAGCCCAGATGTCACCTGAGTGCCAGCCCATCCCCTGGGAGGGAAACAACCCACAGCCAAAATGTGGGCTCGGGTCCACCGCCCAGCACCTGGGTCTCACTACCGCTTCCTGGCCCACAGGGCTTCCAGCACTTGGAAGGATAAGCTTGTCGGTTAAGATGCAGGGAGGGAAGCGGGAAGAGGAAAGGGCATGCCTCCCTGAGAGGTATGCAAAGTGTGGATACTGTGTGTGTGTGTGTGTGTGTGTGAGAGAGAGAGAGAGAGAGAGAGAGAGAGAGAGAGAGAGAGACTCTGAGTACGAGTGTACAGGGAGATGGACTATGGCCTCTCCCGAGGATCACCAGCCAAGCACTGTTCCCTGCTACCTCCTCACAGGACAGGTGTTTCTCTGGCAGGGCTCTGCTTCTCTCCTGAAAGCCACCTTGGGATTGGCCCATCTGGGCTATTCCAGTCCAACATGGCGTGCTCCTGCCTGGCACGTCTCTGGCTAGGCAGCTGAAGGAGCAGGTAGGTAGTGACCCCGGTGGCCGGTGTCCAGGGAGCCTCACCCTCAGCCAGCCAGCCTGACCTCTGGCCAGGTGTGCCGGCTGCCAAGTGGCGTCCTGCAGGCAGGGGCAGGGCAACACTCTTGACTGCTGATTACCGCCCAGCTGGAATGGGTAAGGCTCCCACCTCAGCCCTGACAGGTCCTGAGGACTTGGCCACTCTCTCCAGACACAGGCGGCTCTAGAATAGACACAGCACACACATGAGGCCCGGTCTGGGGCTCAGGGAGCCAACTGTCAGAGTTCAGCAGCATCTTCTATGGGCCCGCTACCGTGCCCAGCACCTGCCCTCTCCCACCAGGGCTTCTGGGGCTTGCTGCCTGCTGCGGTCTCCTCTCTACAGAGGGGTGAGCTGGCAGCTGGGCCTGGGCTGGCTTTGAGGGACCTCTCTGCTGGCACGGGCTGGGTTTCTCAAGGTCCTCCAAGGTGAGCTGCAATGGAGGAACGGCCATGGTGGAGACAAGGAGAACTGGGTGTGGCAACTCTGTTTCTCAAAAGTATGTGGGATGTCTCTGCTTCTGGGCCTCCCAAAGTCTTCAGGGGAGTTGGCCAAGGAAAGACAGAGGCCAAAGGTGAAAAAAGGTTGCTCCTGACCCAGCCCAGAGCAGCCCATGGATTAGGGCCTTCAGTCCGCCTCCTCCCCACAGGCAGATGGACTTGGGGGTGGGGTGCCCAGGCAGGCCTATGCGGAGCTGAGGGTGCTACCTTTGGGGCCGTGTCCCCCAGCCCAGCCTCTCCTGGCGACAGCCCACAAGGTGACCTGAGAGGCCCCACTCTGGCCATCCCACCTCTGCCCATGGTCCAGGCATTATCACAAACAGGTCACTCTGCCGGCCCACTGACATGGCCAGAAGAGAAGGGCTGGGTGCCCGTGGAGCCAGGAATGCCCGAAGATGTGCTCTGTGCCCATCCTAGGAGCCAACACACACCCAGAGGACTCATGGGAGCCCCTGGGCACAAGGTTGCTGATCTCTCAGGAGGCAACCATCCTGGCCCATGACTTGCAAGCTCTGTGCTGAGGAGGACGGAGTAACAATCTGGACTGTTGTGTGGCCCCTGACGCTCACGGAGGTGCTTCGTCAGCCCTATAGCACTCATATATAAACCGTGACATACGGGAGAGAAAAGTCTCTAACGTGATCTACTCCTATGGATTTTCAGCCATTCTTGCCTAACCGCTATCCTGAGCTCCCCCCTTCCAGTACTGCCCCTAGTTACCTCCCCACTCCTGGGTGCCTCTTCCCACCCCCACCAGGCCCAGTATCCTGCACTCCGTGGGCAGAATGACTTCACCAGAACATGGATTGGCCAAGTCACTTCAACTCAAAACCCTCCACCCGCAGGCAGGTATCTGGTCTTCAGGAGCACCAGCGCCCCCTACTCTGAGGGGTTGGTCCCCAGCCTACTGCTTAGGCTTCATCGGCCAAGTCCTGCCTACCACCCCTTCCAGACTTCTAGGCTTCTAACAGATTGCATTTTTGCTGGGGACACCTTCCCATTGGGGTCCATCTGCGGAAGGCCACCTCAGGGTCCAAGGCCAGCTTGGATGTCTTCTCTGTGGGCTGCCTGTGCATCTTCAGTAGACAGACAACATATTCCCCAAACACTCACCTCCCATCTTGGCCCCAGACCAAACATGCAGCTGTGGCTGGAGCCCTGGAGACCCCAAGGGTGCTTGGCTGGACCCAGAAACCAGGGCCTGGGCAAAACTCGCCAGGGGATTGCCCAGTCATGACAGGGCAGCCTTACCTTTGCTGGTGGCTTCGTCCCCTCCCAACTGCGTGCATCCATAGATGGGGGCACCTGGTAGATGTCATGCCCTATTCCAGCAGAAGGCGGCACCTGGTAAATGTCCTGGGCAGGGCTGCCAGGCCCTGGGGGCACCTGGTAAAGGTCCGGGGCTGGGTTGGGAAAAGGGTGATGGGGCATCTGCTTCGAGAATGTAGATGTCTGCTTGGCTGGGGGAGACTGGAACTGCGAGCTGGGCCCAGGGGCTTGGTAGAGGCCTTGCTGAGTCTTGCTGGGGGTGGGTACCAGGTAGACACTATCTGGTTGGGGCTGGTATGTGGCAGGAAGCATGGGTGTGTACTGGGCACCTGGGGCGTGGAGGACAGGCTGGGGCTGGGCCGAGGTGACGGGTGGGCCGGGTCCAGGTCCTGCTGGCTTCTTGTCATGCATGCCCACCAGGATCTTAAGGCGGTTCCCAGGCACAATGCCTTGGCGCCCATGCAGTGAGCAGAGCCACCAGCCATCCAGGCCCTGTGTGTCCCGCTCCAGCACTGTCATGATGTCACCCTTGCGGAAGGAGAGCTCATCCGGGGACTCAGCCACGTTGTCATAGAGGGCTTTGGCCAGCACATTCTGGGGAGAGAGTACACAGGTAGGCATGAGGATGTGTGCCAGGGGCTTGGCAGGCTGCCCAACTGCCACCCAAGGTAACTCTTCCTGGGCACTAAGGAAAGGCTTGAGGAGATCCTGGAACCTCTGCCCCCTCTGCTGCTGGCAGAGAGGCCCAGCTGATCGTGGCAGTTTTCAAGTAAGCCTGGACAGTACCTCAAAAATCCTCAACTGCAGCCACCACCTACACTCCAGGGATGACACTCAACATACTCTTGGAAACCACTCTAAAGTCACGCTACAGCCCAGACCAACACTGGGGAGGACAGCAATAATGAAAATAATGACCAGCACATTCTGGGAAGAAAACAGGATGCACACCCTTGCTGCTCCAACTCCACAGTCCTGCTGTCCTGCCAACCGAGAGGAAAAAACGAGAGCGTAGGGAGGGGACATACAGGGACAAAGTGGTCATCATCTGCAGACCATATGATCATCTACGTAATAATTCCAACAAACCAGAACCAGTAACGGATGAGAAAGAAGTACAGAAAAGCCCACACAACAACAACAAGCTACTAGCTACCCAGGAATTAATCAAGCAAAGACAACAGGAGACCTCAGAGCAAAAAATGTGTACGTTCTGCCAGACGGCTCAAGGGAAAACCTGAATAAAGGAGAAAATGTACCAAATTCACCATAGGATGACTAAGCACTATAAAAGGCCAATTTGCCCAAGCTTACTTAATAAGTTACAATTATAACAGAAATGCCAGCAGAATTTTTTTTTTAAAGGAATTTGACCAAAGAAAAAGAATCCTTCTAGAATAAATGGAGAAATAGGGGTCCATCTATAAGCAGGTCAGCCTGACACACTCTTTTCAGGCTGTGAGGATGTGCCAGGACCATGGATGAGTGGGACCAGTGCCCAGGACAGGGCTCGCAGACGCCCCACACTAACAGGAGCCCATCGGACACCACAGGCGCTACCACACATCAGTGTGGGAGGCCAGGGCTGCTTCATGGATGGTGCTAGAAAACTCACTCACTGTAAGAAGAAAAATCAATCCCCACAGTTGCCTCATGTCATAAACAAAGGACAAATAAAGACCCAGGTGTGAAAGATAAAACTCTAGCTCTAACAAAAGAAACTATTGGGGAGAATACCTTTGTGACCCCAAAGTGCAAAAAAGTTATAAAACACAACTCTAAAAACAAAGACTGTAAAGCACACAACATAAGGTTAACAACAGTGACAAACAGATTTCAACCTCACCAAAGCGGAATGGTTTCTACTGGATAGGAGAGAACACAAAGCTGACACGGTAACAGGTCACCAATGACAAGAGAGGGATGAATCCAGAATCTGGAGCATTCTACAAACCAGCAAGGCAAAGACAAGACATGGAGAAAACCAACAGAACATGAACAGCAAGTTCTCTGAAGGGGAAAAAGACTGGCCAAGGCCACTACGAAGCAGATTGGGGCCCATATGCAATCAGGACCCCCGCGATCCTGCTCTCTTCTCTGGGGCTCCACACCCCAAGCAGGAGCCCAGGTGGGCATCTGGTGAGGAAGGTCGGCCACGCCCCCCGAGTTAGAACAGCAAGCAGGCCATCTATTGCCCAGAACCCTTTCTGTAAACACCATAAATGTCTACAAAACAACTCTATGTATTTTCCAGACATTGACCCAAGGACAGACGCTAGACACACGTCACCAGCATGGGTGCTTCTGGAAAAGGAACATACATTCACCAAAGGAATCAATGAGGAAAATACAGCAAAACGAGAAAGGGATCTCATTACAGACAGTGGATGGCCAAAGTAGAGCAGTACCCTTCCCCCAGCCCTACTTCTTACCCTGGCGCTCTCCTGGTAATTCTCCCAGTGCCTGCTTCTTGGATGGGGCTCTTTTACTCAGCAAACCCTCCCAGAGCAGGGACAGGAGCTCCATGTGGCCCTGGCATGGAGAGGCCTTGCTAAGTGGCCTGCATGAGACCTGGAGAGGGCCTTGGGGGAGACAGTGGGACAGAGGCGGGAGGACCACAGCACTGGTAGACACCAGGCTAGTAGGTCCAGAACCTCACTGGCCCCTGTGTTCCCAGGCCACGGAGTCTGCTGTACTGCTCCGCGGGTGTGAGTGCAAGGATGAGGCTGGACCCAGAGATGTCCCAGAGGGTCCCAGAAGAGGGCAGGAGGGAAGGAGGCACCAGTTGGGAGGACGCCAGGGCTGCTCTGGCCTCCCAGGGTGGGGAAAAATGGGGATCAGCTGGGGAAGCAAGAGAGGCCAGGTCAGGGGAGAAGCCAGCCGAGGTGGGCAGCTACACATGGAAGGCAGGTTTGCCCCAGCACCATGGTGAGCACCAGGGCGAAGGCCCTCAGAACTGCTGCTTCTGCAACACTGCCCACCTCATGACTACAATGCTTATACACGCACCAAAGCATTGACCATGCCTCAATAAGATGTCACATGAACTTAAACAAACTGAGGAGAGGGTAAGAATAGCGGTTGTCAATGGAGGATGCTTTCTCTTCCTGTTTTTCAGAATTTCTCAGTTTGTATTTAATGAGCACTTCTTGGCTTGGGGTTTGAAAAATACACATTCTGAAAAAGGACAGTGGACTACTTCCTTAGGCTCCAAGGCACAATGGGGCAGAGGAGGCTGAGGCAGGTCTAGAGGCCACAGCCCAAGGAGAAGCAGGCAGGGGCAGGGGCTGTCCCGCTGTCCTGCAGCCCATGCCCCCCCCACCCCCCCCACCCCTCCACCCCCCCCCCCCCCCCCCCGCGGGCCCCATCCCCAAGCTGCCTGCACAGAAAGCAAGTTTCCCAAATATGGTCTGCAGCCTGCCTCAGGGAATCACATCCCGTCAGGGGGCGGGACACCGGGCCCACCCTCCCCCTGTGACCCCACTGGGTCCCCCCAGCCCCTGCCCTGGTGACCACAGGAAGTGCCAGCAGAGTGAGTCACAGGAAAATCCCCTCCAAGCCCAGTCAGAGGGGGTGGGGTGCAGACAGAGGGGACTGCCCCTCAGAGGCCCCTCACCTCTCAGGAGGACAGCCCAGGGAGGGCTGGCAGAGGGGCTGGGTGCTCAGGGAAGCTGGGAGGCTCTTGCAGAGGGCAAGGTCCAGTAGGGAACAGGGAAGGAGGGGGAGGGTCTGCCCACACCCACGAGAGCCACTGGGGCCTCCTGCACCCAGGGTGGCCAGCCCCCACCCCCTTGGTGTGAGCTCACGGAGCAGTCAAGGCCAACAACGGTTGCAACTGTATAGTCTGGGGCGGCTGGAGCCAGGCTGGGAAGCACCTCTTGGGCTGGGCACGTGGCACAGAGTGCCTGGCACCAGGAGCTGCTCTGTCTGCATCAGCTGGGGCCCCCGCCCAGAGCTCCAGAGGCAGGCTCTCCACAGGCCCTGCTGGTGCCGGAGCGCTCCAGCTGACGAGCACCCCAGCTTTGGGCCTCTAAGCCTCCCCAGCTGTTACTGAGACACGTTACTCCCTGATCCTTCTTCCTTCTTCCCAGTCACTCAGCAGCAGCTAAAACCAGACCTGGGTCTGGCTCTCCCTCCACTGCTGGGTGACTCCGGGCAAGTCCCTTAGCCTCTTTGAATACCCAGATCCCCTGTGCTAAGACGACAGTCCTGCTTTCAGAGGATTGTTCTTTTGTTCAACAAAAGATGTGCATAGCTCCTGCTCTCTGCCAGGTGCTGGGCCAGGCTCCACTAGATGGTGCAGGCCTAGCTTGTCCATGTCTGCATGGGGTTTCCATTCCAGTGGAGCAAACACCGAACAATTTGTTAGGGCACAGGGGAAAACAGGCACCTATAATAATGTGGGACAGGACCACTGCATATAGGGTGGTCAGAGATGACTTCCCCGAGGAAGTAACACTTCAGATGACTCAGGAAGAATGAAAACCAGGCACAATGACACCAGCTAAGGAAGAGCACACAGCCAGAGGATGGACATGAGCCAAGGTATTGGAGGAGGAAGAGGCTGGAGGAAGATAGGGTTGTGGCCCCAGAGTGGCAGGCAGGCTGGAGACAGTGCAGGAGAGCTCAGTAAATGTCATCAGATGGTGGCACCCCATGGCAGGTAAGCCCAGCCAGGGCAAAGCCTATAGCCCCTGAACATTTCTGCTGTAGACACACTCCCCATGACCCAGTGTCTTGCTCCTACATGGAAGAGGAGCCAGTCCCCAGAGCTTGGGCAAATCGGGTGCCTCCACCCACCCTGTAACAAGGCATAGCTGTGACCTCCAAAGGGGCGCACTGTCAGGGTGCCATCACGGTCTGGGCAGACACTGCCAGACATCTGTGTCCAAGGGACCACAGAGAGTGCTGCCTGACTTACCCCCAAGTCTCTGGCCAACCTCATTCCTGCTTTGAAGAAACCTTCCACTGTGTCCCATTCCTCCAGAATACGTTCAGGGGTCACTCCACCAGGTAGGTGAACATGCCCCTCCTTGGGCATGCATTCCCCATTGTCCCTAACTCAAAGTGACCAAAGCATCTTGTTACTGCCTACTTTGTGCCCTCTGACCCAGGTACCCATGGGGGAGTACCTGGGGGTATGGGGGGAGGGGCTGTGTTCTTCGGCATGGAACCCTTAGGCACGCATGCATGGAGCCTGGCCCTGAATGGGTGGGCTTAGGTAGAAGGCCCCCTTGCAGAAGATGGTATCCTAGCCTCCCTGGGAGCAGCCAGGAAGACCATCTGCGGCTCACTCACCCCAGAGGAAGGGGGAGAAGAGAACCCTCAGCCTGATGCCAACACTCCCCAGGCAGTGGCCTGCCAGCCAGGCCCACTCAGAACAACACCCTGGTTGTTGCAAATGGAGCCAACAGGGCTGCCCCACAGGCCCGGCCTGGCTCTTAGAATAGCTCTCATTGTGTCCTAGGGCCCCATGGGCACCAAACCCCCAGGGCCAGGTGGGCTCTCAAACACAGAGTAGCTGGGCCTTGGCCACAGGTGGGCACATCTGGAGGACTGCAGCCATCTGATGGCTATGCAAGTCTCTGCCTTGG